ATTGGATATGCCATTTGCGAAAACTAGGGTGGTGTTTTTTTTTTTTTTTTTTTTTTCTTTTTTTTTCTCCCCCCCCCCCTTGTAGTTTTTAAAGTCAATGCCTCTAAAGTCACTAGACCTGCCAGGGCGAGCACATGAGATAGACCAGGCAGGATGTCTCCCCTGAGAACCATGGTGGTAATTGAGGAACCAATAGCTAGAGTCTCCCAGCAGATTAACTGCAGTGCTGGGATACTATTTATTGTTAGCGTTACTGGAGCACCTAGGAACAGAACAAAAGGCAGTCCCTGGCACGAAGAATTTGCAATCTAAATATTACTCAAAAGATAAGACTGATACAGACAGAGGAATACAAGGAAACTGAGCCAATATTGATCAGTATGATAAGTAGTGGTCTCAGCACCCCAATAGTTTAATCATTGTCAAGAGGTTTGTTTTTGGGTAGGCATCACAGAGTAATGGGGAGACACCTGCTTGGATACATGGGTCCCAGATCCTTCTGGGTTTTAAAGCTGATGAACACCTTGATTTGAGCACAGATGTTGTATGTTCACTGAATCCTGCACCACCAAGGAGAGAGGCAGCTGCTTTCTAGACTAAAACCCGTTCCTCAAGTACTAACATCCTTTCTCCTTTTGTTAAAACAAATCCAGGTCTCTCCCTCTTTCCTGCACGTTCAAAGTTCCTGTTTAACTGGCAGTGCAAATCTATCCTCTTCAATTACTGCAGCTTCCTTTCTCTCCAACTTTGCCTGTATGCATCTCTTAAGAAGAGAGACTGTTTGCTCAGCTTCATTTCCATTGTATTATCCCATCTTTCTTCTTGTTGAGCTCCCAGCAACCATCAAACACTATTCTCCATTGAACTCCGCAGCAAATAAAAGGAAACCAGTCAGCCCTGAGCGGAGCTAGAAAGCACAGCAAAGCTTCTGAGCCAGATAGTGTTGGTGGAGCTGCCCTGCAGCCGTTATGGCTGATTTACCTCATCTTTGCTGCCTGGTCACACGACGAGAGATTAAAAAATTGGCTGTAATGGTAACGTGAAGTGGTGGTACCTGTAGCCATTTAGATTATTTTGAATGGCATACATTTGGGTTTTTCTACGGTCCCTGTATGACTACAAAACCACACTATCCTTAATACAAATGCACCCCGTGGACCACCATATCTCAGAAGTGGCCCACATCCCTCGGCCCATGCCGCTTCCCGCAGCCCCCATTGGCCTGGAGTGGTGAACCGCGGCCAGTGGGAGCCGGGATCGTCCGAACCTGCGGACGCGGCAGGTAAACAAACCGGCCTGGCCCACCAGGGGGCTTACCCTGGCGGGCCGCAGGTTGCCGATCCCTGCCCTAGTGGATTGTAAGCCCCACGCCCCCAAAAAACCAAAGATCTTCAAAGTGCCCATCACCCAGCAGCTTCCAAACTGTCCACTCATTTAGCTCCTAAATGAGAGCTGGGTGCTAAGCTCTAGAAAAACTGGCCTTAAATCTCCAGTTTACTGCTGGATCTGCTCTCCATAGAGGTGAACATTTGCCATTAATGTCAGTGTGTGCAAAGAAAAAATCTCCAAGTCTCTAATAGAAACTGGTGGGGGGGGGGGGAGATTTTCAGAAGTGCCTATAGGGATTTAGGAGCACAAATCCCACTGATTTGAAAATGAAAGGGATTTGTGCTCCTAAACCTCTGTAAGCACTTTGGAAAATTTTCCTCCACAATAGTGAATGCCTAACTGCCTGACACGAAAGCAAGATAATCCACCAGCTATTCTTATTCACTCTATAGAAAAACAGTAACATTAGAAAAGTCCCAAATCAATCCATGTTACATGTGAATACTTTTTTCCTTCAGTGCTAAACTAGCATGTGATCAATGCTGGTAAAGGAATATTTCCATGGATAAGCGGCAGAGTGGAAACTGTTTGCCTTCCTTCAGGCAGACAATCCTTCAGAAAGGGTAACTGTAATAAAACCAAAAAGCAGCAGAGATCGTGCTTAAAGTCAAGCATAGAACACCCTGCTTGAACCTCTAGACCACTATTTCTTATACCAATAAGATTTAAAATTTAGCAAGTGCAGATAGGGAAAGCATATTGCCCACAAGTGCACACCACCATTGGGTATATTATCTCTGTGCCTGTATGACTACAAAACCACACTCTCCTTAATACAAATCCACCCCGTGGACCACCATATCTCAGAAGTGGCCCACATCCCTCGGCCCGTAAATTGCCATTCTGTAAACACCACTGGAAGTTACTTGTATAAATCCTTGTGCATTGAGATGCGATTGTAACCCTCTAAATTCATTTGGCAGCCAAGTAAATATTAAACAATTTAATCTGACCTGGACTTTAATGTTAAATCTGTTAGTTTTAGATTTTTGCCATTGACCTAAGTAATCAAACCACTGTCTGAGGGCTTGCACTTGAGCTGGCCTATCCCTGGATCTATTAGAATTATTTTCAGGCTTTTTTTTCTTCCTTTTCTCTCTAGCCTTAAGCTTGATTTGGACATAATATTAATAGGGCAATTATTCAGAGTAGCAAATTTTTAAACTGCCTTCAGCCATACGCCCTTCAGGTGTGTGCATTAATCCGGCCTAGCAAAGTAGGGCTGACACTAGTTCACCTTTGGATGAGAATCCTAAGGAAACTTCAAGATTCTCCAGGAAGTGGGATGCTTGATCCAGGAGGGGCCACACTTCCCTGGGCGTTGATCCTCAGCTATTGCCCCAGGGTAGTAGTGGGAGGCACTGGACTGTCCAGTGTGCTGTATTTTGGATAAGGTATTAAAAAAAATAAAAAAGCCTGATTCTCACTTCTACTAAGGCCCCTTCTAGGCACTGCTGAAGCAGTGTAAATGAAAATCAGGGAGAAGTCTTCACTATGGCACTTCTGACGAGGGTCCTAGTCCTACTGTCCTGGCCAAATTGCAATAGAGCTAATTTACATTCTGCCTATAAGAAGTGTCTCTTCAGCGTCATTTAAATCGACGATTCTCCATTTCCTGCATTTAGCTGTTGGGTAGCATCTTGCACTATTAAACAGCTGCTGTGTTGTGCCCCAGAGGTGGCTGTATTGCACTGATGGCCAAAACTATTTATATATTTAGGGCTTCTGTTTTGGGGGGTATTTTCATTTTTCAGGATTTATTTTTGGCAATTTAATTTTTTTATGCAGATGTAGAAAGATAATGGAGCAAATTAAGCAATCAATTTGCAAACATCTAGAAGATAAGGTGATAAGTAACAGCATGGATTTGTCAAGAACAAATTGTGTCAAACCAACCTGATGGCTCATTACCCCATCAAAGAAAGCTTTGTGGCCTGGGGGGGTGGGAGCAGTAGAGATGGTATATCTTGACTTTACTAAAGCTTTTGGTACTGTTTCTCGTGACCTCATAAACTAGGGAAATGCAACCTAGATGGAGCTACTATAAGGTGGGTACATAACTGGTTGGAAAACTATTCCCAGAGCTTAGTTATCAGTGCTTCACAGTCATGCTGGGAGGGCATAACAAGTGGGGTCCTGCAGGGATCAGTTCTGGGTCTGGTTCTGTTCAATATCTTCATCAATGATTTACATAGTGGCATAGAGAGGACACTTATAAAGTTTGTGGATGATACCAAGCTGGGAGGGGTTGCAAGTGCTTTGGAGGATAGGATTAAAATTCAAAATGATCTGGACAAACTGGAGAAATGGTCTGAATTAAATAGGATGAAATTCAGTAAGGACAAATGCAAAGTACTCCACTTTGTGTGCAATTGACGGTTCCTTCTTTACAAAATGGGAAATGACTGCTTAGGAAGGAGTGCTGCGGAAAGTGATCTGGGGTTCGTGGTGGACCACAAGCTAAATATAAGTCAACAGTGTAACACTATTGCTTCCCTCCCAAAAAGTGAACATCATTCTGGGATGTATTCGCAGGAGTTGTTGTAAGCAAGACACAAGAAGTAATTCTTCTGCTCTGCTCCATGCTGATTAGGCCTCAGCTGGAGTACTGTGTCCAGTTCTGGGTGCCACATTTCAGGAAAGATGTGGACAAATTGGAGAAAGTCCAGAGAAGAGCAACAAAAATTATTAAAGGTCTAGAAAACATGACCTATGAGGGAAGATTGGGGGGGGGGGGGAAGTTTTAGTCTGGAAAAGGGAAGACTGAGGGGACATAAGTTTTCAAGTACATAAAAGGTTGTTACAAGGAGGAGGGAGAATTGTTGTTCTTGACCTCTGAGGATAGGCAATGGGCTTAAATTGCAGCAAAGGAGGTTTAGGTTGGACATTGGGGAAAACTTCCTAACTGTCAGGGTGGTTAAGCACTGGAATAAATTGCCTAGGGAGGTTGTGGAATTGCCATCATTGAAGATTTTTAAGAGCAGGTTAGACAAACACCTGTCAGAAATGGTCTAGATAATACTTAGTCCTGCCATAAATGCAGGGGACTGGACTAGATGACTTCTCAAGGTCCCTTCCAGTCCTACGATTCTATGTCCAAAAATGGGAGGGAGGTTGGGGGATTTTTGTGTATATACTATAATAAGTCATCTTTGTAATGTTTCCCAGTGTGTATTAACATAGTCCTGTTTCAAACAGCACCATGTTAAAGCACACTAGAGACCCTTTAGTGCTCATCAGCAGGCTCTACACAGATCAATTAATGTGCAACACCTTAGTGCGCTTTATAAAACACCCCCTTGTTGTTTGTTTCTGTTGTGTAGACCCTTATCATTTCTGGTATCTTTCCTATGTTTTTTGGATAAACGCTGATTTCGTGTTTTTGTATTAGGGATGGTTTTGTTGGTATTCAGCAGTTAGAACTTAAAACCAGAAGCCCTAATAATATTCTAGTTTTATTGAGACTATTTTTACCTTGTCCTTTAAAAATAGTCTCAATAAAACTAACAAAACATTGAGCCAACTGTAACATGTGACTGAAACAAAGCAAGTACTGCATCCAAACAAGACAAACGTTTCAATAAGTATACTCTCCCTGACTTTGTTCACAGGAGTGAAGGGAATGGCTGTATTGCCTAAGGATGGAAGAGGATCGTGCTCATGTGAAAGCCCTGAAACAGCAGTGACTGGGATGGTAAGTTTATATTCACCCTTCGCTTGTCAGCAAGTTATGGATTCATGCTCTATGGAAACCAATAGTAGGTGAGACAGCCTACATTTTCCACTGTGATGACAAGCTATTCCTGCCAAGGAAAATTCTATCAGTAAGTTCCATGCTACTCAACTGGCCTCAGGTGGGTCCTTTCCTAAACATTTCAAGACCTGATGCAACAGTGAGATTTAGGAGGACTGGTTTTTATGATATGACTGAAATATTTGAATTCTAGCAGAGGTGGCAGCAACACAGATTGGAGCATTGAAAAACAGGCAACTCTTAAAGTGTTCTCAAACAAGTGCCAGATCTGTTGCTGACCAGTAAAATGTTTTCAGCGGTTCATAGCAAAATTAGGCTTTCGCTTGCTTGTTTGAATGAATCGATTTGAGACCCACCCCTCCTCCCCTACAGCCTACTCTCTTGTCGACCCTCCTCAGAGCTTTCTATTCGTCTGGACCAGGTCTGTAGTCCCTAGTGTCACCAGCCCCTTTTAAGCACTGGAAAACAGCGTGTGGAAGAGCTCAGAAACATAGGGAAGGAGTATAGACAGACACCCATGTTCTACCCACACACCACTTAGTCTCTGGACTCAGATTGCAAGGTGCTGACGACTCCCTGAGATGTGTTGAGTACCCTCAGCTGTTGGAGAGGCCTGGCTGGAGGTAGATATATTCCTGGGCAGTTCTTTGTTCCTGCTGTGACTTCTAATGTACGGTCTGGGCACATACAGTTGTGTGTTTAAAAATTTGAAGAAATAAGTAAAAGATGCAGGTGGGAAAAATAAAGGACTGAAGTCGATGGGAGTTGGAAGCAATAAACACCTTGTAAAATCAGGACTTGTGTTCAATGCCTATTGATGTGAAACGTTCATGTCTTGGACCCTATGTGACCTAAAGTCTCTCAATTCCTGAAAATCGCTACGAATCTAAATATGTTGGACAAAATTTTGTGGAACCAAAAAAGTGCTCCCCATATTAGGAAATGTACAGAAACACAGAAGACTGAGAGCTAACCTTTCTCATTTTCTAAAACAAAATTTCACTTAATAAAATGATCCCATGCACACCGAAAGAAAAAGCTTAATGACATTGGCAGAGTTCTGTACTAGGAAGGCGGACTCTGTTATCGGTGTTACTGTGAACAAAATCGGCAAAACGTTGTTACAGGAAACTGAATAAAGAACAGTATAGCACCCTTACTGGCATGTCAATAAACCAAAATTGATCAGAGCAAGCGATCCCGAGCTGAAATGGTCACTCAAAAATTGCTAACTTTAGCAGAGCTTCACATATAGCATGATGAAGTTTGAGGTTTATATTTTTGCAAAGATTACAGACTGTAACTAGTTCTGTGCTAGAGTATGAAACAACCAGCCAGCATCTGCTTCTCTAAGCTGCAATTTGCTGAGAGGGGCAAACCCAATCCTGTTGAATCTCTAACACAATTCTCCTTGCTGCTGTTGAACAATGAAATGACCAACGTCATACAAAAAAGCATGAATGGGCCCCATTTAGATCAAGTCCAAAAAGCTGGATACAGATATAGATAGAGCATTTTTAGATGATAACCATAGACGTTAGTTGCTCAGCTGGTGTATAGCAGCGTAGCTCCATTGATATCACTTGTTGATTTACACCAACTGAAGACCTGGCCCATAAAGTTCCTCTTGGCCTAACGAAACCTAGGATCGTAAGACCAAATTGTGCTCTAGGTTATGCACATTGCCACACCCATTCAAGTTGATGGGACTTCTGTGCGGGTTAATAGAGCTAGAAATATCACAGTAAAGATAACAAAGACCTAATAGATCACCACATCCATTCCCTGCCAAGGACAAGGTAGAGGCCCCCAATGGAGGATGTACAGCATCGGATATTAAACTGCTGTGCCTTGTGACTAAAATCAAGTGTAGTATCCATCTTCTTTGACCCAGTCAAAACATGGCCCTCGTGAACAGTTGCTACATGTTGTGTTTTCAGGGCCAGCCAGGCCCATGAGCCAAGACAAAGTTCATGAAGACTCAATTTAAGAAAAATCTTATTGCAAAACATTACTTTCTTGATCTGCTTGAATAACCTATTATACATGTGCAATGCTTTGATGGTGAGAATAACATGTTCCCTGCTATTTGAGACTCTCTTGTAGCTGTAGTTCAAAACGGAGATTGTGTGTGGGTGGTATAAACTGCAGCTGGTTTATTCTTCCACCCTCGTTACTGCTTAATGGGAGAGAGTTGACATCTGCGTATGCCATTCTGTTCGTCCTCTGCAATATTTGCTTTACAAGCAGTTGGGAGGCTCATTGTGGACAACCTGTCATTTCAATTGCCGATTTTTTTGTAGCGATGTCTGGTCCATAGGTAGGTTGTAGGGAATCAGAGCTTCAGTTATAACTGATAATACAATCCACTGGCTAGGATATCTTTCAAGAGATACGCATAAACCAGAGCAGGCAGTTCAGCTGATCCCTTTAGCCCACCGTTTTGGCTGTGCTGCAGTGGGTATCCTTGGAGGTACCGTATTTTCCAGGGACCACACCTCTGATCAGCAGTTCTGGAGTGGGTCAGTGACCATCTTAAGCTGTCTACGCTCATGGCGGCGTGTCAAGTCAAACACTGCACCCCACCCTAGCACAGGTATAAATAGCAGTGTAGATAGTACTGCTTAGGCAAGCAGGATCGAGACCGGTCAGAACCTTAGGGTATGTACCCTACACGGCTCTCTACGTGCCCAAGAAGTGCAATGTTCCGCTTCAGGGAGCTGCCAGAGCCTTTCTCAGCTGTAGTGAAAAGCTCTACCTGCTCCTGGAGCTTCCAAAGCCTTTCCTCATCCCTGCAGCATGTACGCTACATGCCGCCACAAGTGTAGACCAGGCATAATTGTGCAGCCCCATATTTTAATAAACCATTGAAAGGACTAAGCACACTCATGACATTGTATCTTGTGTGGCCCCCTTTACCATCGTATCGGAGCCCCTTACAACACTCTTGTGAGGTAGGGAAGTGCTATTATCTTCATTTTGCAGGTGGGGAACTGAAAGTAATTGACTTGCCCAAAGTCACACAGAAAGTCTGTACCAGAGCAGAGACCTGAACCCACGGCTCCCAAGTCCTAGGCTTCTGCCCTAACTACTAGTCAGATTGCTTCTGCTTTATTGCCAGAACAGTTACCAAAGACCCAGGCCCTGAATCTGCATTCGTGTTAACATACACCAATAGGAGATGAAAATTAGTCCTACAAACTCTGGAAAGTTTCATTCACGTCACTAGGCTGCTTCTACAACAAAACCAAAAGCCAGAGCACCAAGAACAGGGTAAAGAGGCGGGAACTGACTCTTACACAGTGTAGCCTAAAATGTCAAAGGTGACCAATGACTTCGGGTGCCTCAATATTTTGGATGCTCAGTTTGAGGCCTCTTTAAGAGGTCTCAAACTTCCAGGGAGGGATGCTGGGCCCTCAAAGGGTTAGGCACCCCAAATCCCTGATCATCTTTTAAAATTGAGACCCGCACATGTGGTATAGAAACTTCCCCTCCTAATTGGCTTCAGATCTTGCTATCATTCCGGGCATGGAGGTCTGTTAAAATCCATGAGCATTCTGCATTAAAAAACCCAAAGGCAGGGTATGGGTCAATTTCAGAGAGAAAATTTAATCTATTTTAGGTAGCTAAAGCCATCCTCAGTTGACTCCTGCCAGTTCAAATTATTATTCTCCATAGGCCAAATTCTCCTCTGTTACACTGGTTGCAGCCACGTTCGTGCTAAAGTCAATGGGACTGGAGTGATGTAATGGAGAGGAGAATCTGGCTCATTTATTGGATTGCTCAGAGGAGTGCAAAACTAAGTATTCATTTACAATTATGCCTTTTGCTAATTGCTCTTGAATAAGTACTGTGGCTGATATTGAGCAATGCAGCATTGGTAGGGGAGCTGAAAGCAATGTGAGTTGTCGAAAGCTATTACAGCCATTACGTCTGACCTGTGGCACTGTAATTTTATTTGTGCCTTAGCTTGGGAACTGTAACAAAACTGTCATTCTGGTCTGTAAAATGTACCCACCTGGCTTCACACGCAAAGATAAATAACACTGCCTACTCAGAATGTATTCTAATGAGATCAAAATGCAACAAGTGTTTGGTAGTGCAGAGCTGAATTTCCATATAGATTGCAGGCTGTTTTAATTAGCAGGTCTACAATTGGATACTAGTCCCATTGTATCATTATGGTTACATTTTTGCATGATTTCACTTACGATGAGCTGAAAATGCAGTGAATCTAAGATCTCCATCTTCTACTTAATTCGGTGAGAAGCTGTGCTTATCCAACAATGGCCTGATCCCAAGCCACCTGATACCAATGGGACTCTTTCCTTTGTATTTCAAGAAAAGAGCTGTTTGTTTTTCTTTACCAGTTTTTATCATTGGAGAAGTGGGAAAAGAATTTATTTTCTGACTATATCAAGGTTCTTCAGAAGTACTAAGAAGCTCTGGGAAGACTTGGTTTCCTCACTTAACTATTCCAGTGTGATCGGTCTTGTCCTCTCTTCCATAGCCAATGCCATATTCTGTGCTTGTGACCATTCTAGCATAATTGTGAGAGTGGGGACTACCTTGAATCTTCATAGCATATATCCTGGGTATGGGGAAGGCTAGATGTAGATGTCTATTGATAGGGAAGACAGCTTAGTTTATGAAGATTTGTATTTTAATATGTAAAATTGAGGCGCTTTAGAGGTATTCGAGATTAGCAGCATGGAGACAGAAAAGGTTAGTGATATGGCTTAGCACTTTTAAAAAATAGGATATTAAGGGTCTTGCTGTTCATCTTTAAAGACATAAATAATGTAGAATCAATTAACGTGTGCAGCTGTCTTTCCTGTTATGGCCAAGGTCAGCAATGTTGATGAATCAAAATTGTCCTTTGATTACAATAAGGGTAAACATTCCATGATCAATGGATGATTTTTTACTAATAGCTTACA